CAACACTTGACGTTATAGATTGTTATTTAATAAAATTCTTATAATTTTTTTGAATAAAATCAATTACAAAATTTGAATAATATTACATTAAATCATAAGTGTTATTGTTATACAAGACTAATAGAATATTAACTGATTTATCTTATATAATCAAAAAATATTTTATTAAAAATTACATAATATACAATTTAATAAAATTTTACAGGAATTTTTTTGTGAAAAAATTCAAAGAATATTTTAATTATTTACATAATTAAATTGAAATTGATATTAATTTCAAAAGTATTACTATTAGTAACAATTTGAATTTATTTTAGAATTCTAATTATTAATTCTATGATTATAGAATAAATTATGAAAGTAAATGCATTTCGATTTTAATTATTTATAAAATAATAACAATATTAAAAAAATATTTATTTAAATTAGTGTTATTGAAATATGTAATTTTAATTAATTTAATTAAAAAAAAATTTGATATTTTGTTCCGAAAATCGTAAAAATTTAATTAAAACAATTAAATTCATCTTATAGAAATGCCTAAAATTTTTTCAATGTATATTATATTTGAGTTATTATAAATATTAATATTAAAAAATAAAAAAATGTATATACAGTGGAATTCACTTATAACAACGTCGCTTACAACGACGAACCTAATAAAACGGCCAAACTTCCAACATTTGGTTGGCCCACATAGATTTTCTTAGAAAAAAAATCTGATATAGCGACACGTCTATAGCGACCGTATTGGATGTTACAACTCGTTTTTTTTGAGATTTATGATTTTTAAATCGGACATAACAACGAAAAAAATAAAAAAAAAAAACACAAAAGCACAAAAAATAAAAAAAAAAATACAAAAACTCAAAAAATACATTTATGCACAATTTTTCGTTTGTTTTGTGTATTTTGCTTTAATTGTCAGTTAAAGCGACAAAACAATGCTGCAAAAATTAGCAAGCAATGTAATGTACATTATGTAGTTATAGTTTTGCACATAAATTTTTTTTGTTAGCTATGGGTGCTGTTTACACGTTCAGTGTATCAGTCAGTTTTAACTGAAGCTCCATGTATTTGTTGTTGTTTGAAAAGAATGAGAAAAAGTTGAAATGTTTTTAATTCTTCGTCAGTTTTTCAGTAATTTTAATTTCAATTGTTCCAAGTTTCATATCAAGTTTGCAAACACTTAATTCACGCTCATATATAAATTTCTTCATTCAAAACTGAACGTGTAGACACTTACATTTTTCACCACAGTTTTAAATGACTAATTCACTGAACGTGTAGCCAGACAAAAATTAATAAATAAAAACAACCAATGAACATTTGGAATATACGTATATCGTCACTTTTGACTTTTATTAGCTTGGATACTTTTTTTTTGTTGTATTGGTTATACCGACTACCGCTTATAAAGTCCGAATTTGGTCGGTCCCTTGGGCGTCGTTATAAGCGAGTTCCACTGTATAATTAAAAAAAAAATTCAAAATATAAAAGAAAAAATTTGAAAATATGTTTTATAATAGAAAAATGGAAGAATTGTAGAACATAAAATTAATTTTTAATTTAAAATAAAATAATTAATTTAATAGCCAATAAATTTCAGTTTTTTTTTTTAAACATTTATGTATAAAATGTATTTTACCATTATTTTGTAAATAAAATCTTTTATTTATTTTTAAAAATATTATATAATATCTTTTCCATTTTTCTTCTCTCTTCTCTAATACCTTATATATTTTTGAACTTCCTTTTTAAACCTGTATAAATTTTAATATATAATTCTAAGAAAACATAAAAATAAACATAATTTTTTATTTTATAGCTCCTGTTTTTTCTTTTTTTTTTTTTTTCAATATTTAAATATTTTAAATTTAAAAAAATTGCAATTTTGTTTTTTTTTTTTTTCGAAAAAAGGTAAAATTTTAAAAAATTGTTTTTTATGATCACAATTTTAAAGATCATAATTGTTTTCTTTTTTTGTTTTTATTAAAATTTTTATTTTAAAATTTTTTTTTTTTTTGTATATAATTTTGGTTCCAATTTGAATTATTTAATTAATTTGAGTAGACACGAGCTTCTTGTTTTTTCAATATTATGAAAATTTTTTTCTTTTTAGTTTGTATATTTAATTTAATTTTTGTTATATAAGAGAATTTAATAAAATTATTAAATATACATACATTTTCTTTTTCCTTTATATTATTTAAAATGTATTTATTTTTTTATATGTTATAATAGAATTTATTCGATTTTTAATAAGAATATTGTTGTAAAATTTTTGATTTCTTTTATTTGATAATGACAAGTTTTTCCATTTTATTATCATTATTTTATTTAAAATAATTATAATTTATTTGATATCAGATTAAGTGTTGTATTTTAATTAAAAAAATAAGCAATTTGATTCTGTAAACGTATTTAATTTTATATAAATAAAAAAAACAAATTTATTTGAATTCAAATTTTATAAAAAAAAAGTACAAGTTTTAAAATTCGGAAACAAAGTTTTCTATTATAACAATTTTGAAAATATGCATTAGAGATTAGCAAATTTTTCATATTTAAAACAAAAAAAAATTAAAAAAAAAATATATAATTTGTAATTTTATTATATTTGAAAATTAATTAAATTTTCTGTTAAAATAAGAAAGGAAAATAAATTTCTTGATTTTATTTTAATCAACATTTTAATACAAATAATATTTGCATTTATAAAATAATATTTAAAATGTGTACATTTTACTAAAAAGATTTTAAAAATCTTTATTTATGGTATAAAATTCTTCTCACTTTTTTTTTTTCTCTCTATTTCTTTAATTAAATTATACACGAAACTAAGTATTATTTTATTTTTTTCTTGACTGGACTATCTAATAATTTTCGTAATTTACAATAATGACAAATATTTTTTAATTAAATAACAAATACAATATAAATATATACATTTTTTTAAGGAATATTTTCTTTGTTTTTAAGAATATTTTGTTATTTTTTTATCTAAATTAATAAATTTTATTTTAAAAACATAAAATCTACAAAAATTTTTTTTAAGATCTAAAACAAGATTAGCTAATAATTGTAAAAATTTTTTTTTTATTGGAAATTTTGCTAAATTAATAAATTAATTGATAATTAATTAAGACCAATTTGATATTATTATCGAAAACTAAATTATACAATAATATTATATATACATAAAATGTATTAATTTTTAATTGAAGATTATTAGTAAATTTATTATAATTTACAAAAATTTAAAAATTATTGATTTATTAATATTTATTCCAGATTTTACAATAAAATCTATTGAAAATTAAATTAATTTTTAGGATTAATAAAATCATTTTCAAAGGTAATTCTTGTTTTTTTTTTTTTAATTTATCACTTAGTTTTTGCCTAATATGACTAGACTTTTGTTTTAAAAATATAATTTCGTTTTTGTTTTTTTCAATTTGAATTATAATTTTCAAAAAATGAGCTTTTTCTTGTTGTTTGGTAATGATTTTTCACAGCATTTTTAAGATAGGAAAATTTTCTAAAATAAATCTTATTTAAAAATTTAATATTAAGTAGATAATTTCATATTAATCTAATTTAAAGAAAAAATATAAGATTTATATGATTGTACATGAATATTTTATTGAATTGATATGAAAATTTTGAATTTAAATTTAGAATTTATTTAATTCTAAGAATATAAATTTATGCAATACGTGAAAAATTCTCTATACTTAGATTTCCAAAAATCTATTATAGAATATGCATATTTTTCAAAAAATTACTTTTGAATTACATACTTAATGTACATATTAAAATTTGCTCTAATTAATTCAATTTTATTTAATTTCCCTAATTTTTATGTCTATTAAACAACATTTGTTTGGAATAACTTAAAACTTAATTGAATAATTGTATATAGAGCTTGTTTATTTGCGTTTAGCAATTTTATTATTAATAACACTGGAATATAGATACTAATTAATTTAATAATTAAAAAAAAAAAAAAGCAATATATTGCTTATTTTTGTTTTTGCTCTATACAATAAAAATGGGAGCATTTCTGCTGAAATTCAATAATTTATATTTTGAAATATTAAAATAATTTTAAATTAGGTAGTTTTTAATACTATTGTATTTTCTCTAGTTTTAATTTTTTTTTTTTGTATAGAAATTCTAAATTTTACCAAATTTAAAAAATTTATTTTTATTAATTTAATTTAAATTAAAATTAAAACTTTTACAATTATAGCTTAAAATTATTTTTAATTATTTTTCAATATTCCCAATATTAAATTATCAATTCAAATTAATTGTTTTAATAAATTCTAATATTTAATTATAATTAAATATTTATAAATAAATATTAGAATTTCAATATTTTATTCTATTGAGGGTATATAAATTTAAAATGAATGTTTTACGAATATTAATTGTATAGGTTATTTTTAAACTGTTCAGATATATTTTTGTTTTCTGTTTGGATTTCGAAATTTTGAAAACAAAACAAGTATTTTTCCTATAAATTTGGAAATTTTTCAATGAAAGAAAAGAAAAAACATCAAATATTAATTTTTGTTTTCTATTTTATATAATTATAAAGTTTTCAAATTATTACAATTAAAACTTTACATAATTTTATTTATCAAAAAAAAAAAAAAATTTAATTTATTTATATATCTAATTAACATAATTAATCATTCATTTTATTTTTTGTTAAATTTTAATTATTTGACTTTTATTTAAATTTTTTGTTTATATCTTTTTTTTCTTCTTTAATTAATTAATAATTTTTTTTTTTCGTTTAAATTTTACAAAATAATATTAATAATTATAATAATAATAAATTTAAATAGTTTTATATAGAAGCGAAAAAAAAAAAAAACTTAAAAAATACATTTCTTCCTTTTTATTATAAAAAAAAAAATAAATCATTACATAATAATTATTATTTTAATAATTAAATTAATTTTAAAAATATATTTTATATTTGAAGGTTTATTTTTTTTGTTTTTTGTTGAATTTTTTCCATTAATATTATGTATATCTGGTTGTCTTGGCATTTAAATCTAATTATTATTAATTATGTTTGAGCACTGGCCGAAAGTTGTTCAAGACGCGCACACAGCTCTTGAGCTAATAATAATTGATTCGCTGTACCACATACAATTGTATTTGATGTTGAATTTGCTGTTGCAGCAACAGCAGCAGCAGCAGCTGCTGCAGCAACAATATTACTTGTTGCATTGGTATTAGCACCATTAGCACCATTAATGTTAACTGATGATTGTGTTGTTACAGCTGCTGTTGGTGCTGTTAATTGAGTTGTTGCATTCAATGATGATTCTGGATAACTTGGACAAACACCTAACCAGCGAGCTTTACCGCTTGCATGAGACTAAAATGAGAAAAAACAAAATAATAAATTAATAAAGCTTTATAATTGTGATTTTGTGTTTTTTTTAATGAAAAAGCTTTTTTTTTGTTTTTAAATTTTAAATATTGGTTTTTGTCTAAGATTAAAAAAAAATAACAAAAAAATTAAAAAAAAAAGCTTTTTCAAAAGTTTGATATAAAAATCTCTACAAAAAACTTTGTTATAAAATTATTTTGGAGAAAAATTTGAATTTCAATTGTAAGCTTTAAAAGCTTTTATTTGCTTTTAGATACTTGAAAAAAAATTAAAGTTTTTTTCAATTTTTTAAGTTATTAACGATTAATTTAAACGGTAAAACTAATTGAATAATTTAAAATATTTAATTTTTTTTTTTTGTCATTATTTAAATATTTCTATATGTATGTATGTACCATTGTAAAATCACGTTTCCATTGAACACCACATTTTCCATCACATAATGGGCATGGTCTTTCAAGACTATAACCACCGCATTCACTACAATCCAATGAAACATGATCATCGGTCCATGAAACACCACAACTAAAACATGATCCCATTTGGGCACGTAATTCTTCAATTGTTAATACATTATCCATTGAAATTTCTAATGGACTTCCAACCAAATCAGATAATGATGATGAAACGCTTAAGCTGTTACGTCTAAAAATAAAAATGAAATGGAAAAAAAAAACATTAAAAATTAATTGCAAAAAAAAAAAATTGAAATGTTAGAGAAAATATGAAAATTTTTTTTTTTTGTTTATTTTATTTTTCTAGATTTTTATTGCAAACAATTTTTTTTTCTCTTTTTGTTATATACTTGTGTGCAATATATAGAAAAAGAAATTTTTTCTTCTTTTTGTATTTAATTTAGCAAAATTTCTAATTATTAATGACCCTAATTGACCTAGTTCATCTATAAGTATATATACATATAGAGATTTTACTTGAAAATAATTGCAATCTGGTTTCATTTAATTTAAATAGAAATAAAATTACCCATATTTGAATTTTATAAATATAATTTACAATCTTTTTAGGTATTTATTTAGATTTATTTAAAATTTTCTAAAAATACATAAATATGTATAAAAATTGAATGTTAAAATTGTGAATGGTTTTTTTCATAAATTCAATATAAAAATTTAATTTGCCATATTTATTATACATTTTTCATACATAATAACCTAGCCTATACATAATTATGTACTAATTATAATAATAATGTACTAGAATTTGAAAATTCTAATTTATTTAAGTGCAAATATACTTTATTTATATTATGCAAGTAAACTACACAAAAAAAAACAAAATTTTTCTATAAATTTAAATTGATTGTCACACATAGAGGGAGGAACACATAAAGAGGTTGACAGAGAAAGAGAGTAAAAAAATTCAAGGGGGGCATTTAGTATTTCATGACTTCATGTACTAAATAGCCATAAAATGAGCTCTTACTCGTATTATACAACGTGTCATTTAATTGAATGCAACAACGACATCTATTGAATTGTAACTTGTTTATTATAATACATAATGAAATCATTATGGTATAGAAAATCGTATATATAAACATACTACATTTATATAGTATAAAGGTTTTATAAATAAATGTAATTTTATTTATTTTAAATTTACATAAGGAGAAAAGTGTTATTTTTTGAATAATTTGTATAACAATATTGTATTTAAATGATTGTGAAATTTGCAATATGCAATTTTAATTCTATTATGTTATTTTATATTGAATGTACAAAGTGAGAAAGATAGAGAGGGGGCGGGAAGGGGGACGGAGAGGAATAAGTAATGAAAGAAAGTAGAGAAAAGAAGAGAAAAAAATAATTTTGTATTTACGTTATGATCCGATATGGTCGAGAAATTTAATTTAAAAGAATATTTTTTTTTAGGTGCTCGTATTTATGTAAAAAGTTATTAAATTATTTTATAATAGAAAATTGAACAAATTTTTGAACATATTCCAATATAATGAAAATTTAACGCATTAGCAATTTGATACTCTAATTTAAACCTATTATTCTACTTAAAATTATTAAAAGATTTAAAGAAATTATTAGAGAACTTATTGATTATAATAATATTACAAAATGTATTACAATTGTCAAAATTGAAATTGACACACTGATTCTCATTATACTGACACATACCGTGATTTCAAACACTGTTCATGAATTTTGTTTGATTTGACATTAAATATAATTACAAATATCAATTTCCATGTGTTTGATAAAATTTCGCTGAATTTTTAATTGATTTCGGTAATGATTAACATTTTGTTTTTTTATTTTTCGTTTCAGATCAAAAATCAAAATTAAAATCAAATTCAATTTTGATTTTAGCTATTTTCGTTTTTTTATTTTTAAATTATTAGCAAAATTTAAAAATAATCAACATGTACAAAATTGATTGCAAACATAAATAGGTAAGTATTTTGTATGCGCCTATATATGCGCCCTCTTAGCGCTCTTCAATCACCAAATGTCAGAATGTGATGAATTTTTCATATACACGAAAAAAAAAAATGTAGGTTTATAGAATTTTTCTATTTGTGATAATTTTAAAATTAAATTAAATTTTTTTTAAAGTGCTTTGTATAATTTTAATCATTAAACTTATCTATTTTGAAAAATGTGAAAAAATAAAAAAAAAATAAAATTGCATTAAACAATTTAATTTTAAGTTGAAATTCCCAATCAGAGAACGCCATCAAAACGAGATATATTTATATGTACAATGTATATAAGTATGTATATATTTAGTACATACATATAAGTATGTTAAACCATAAGTGCATGAATAGAATAAAATTAGATTATAGCGCTTTTTTTTTTTGTGTCTGCAAGTGAGTTGTAAAATAATAAAATAGCAAATAAATAAAATTCGCATATAAAAATGTGGTATATGTTTGTATGTTAGTATGTTTGTATATAATAATGAATTTTTAAATAATGTCTACAATGCAAACTGTATATATGTATATATATGTAGAATTGTATATATTATGCAAAACATATTCATAAAATGTACATGAATGTACATAAAAATGTTCATATACATGTATTAAGATTAATTTATGCAATAGTAGAATAAATTTACTGTCGCGACGAAAATTAACTTTAGCATAAAATTCTTTGGCATATTTAACATTTTTTTTTGCAATGCAATTTTCTTTGATATTTAATTGTTATTTTATTATTATTTTTTTTTCTTTACAATAGTAAAAATTGCATTTTAAAAATGTACTACGTTTTATTTTATATATTTTATATTAGCATGTGGGCAGAAACATAAAAACAATAAAGGGTACACATATATAAAATTTTTTTAAATTATTTGTTTTAGAATTGGTCTATAGCAACAGTTTTATTTTGAAATTTAATAAATTTTTAATAAAATTTTAAAATTCTTATAATATTGAATGACAATTAAGAAATATTACACCTATAAGTATGCAATTTTTTCTGTAAAAATTAAATATTTTTAAGATTATAAACTTCAAAGATCAACAGCTCAAAACAACAAATTTTATAAAGTTACAAATGAATTATAAAATTCCTGACTTTCTATAGTTATGAGTGAATATGAAAATTACTAATTGAATATTTAAAAAAAACCGTACGCCCATAAATATGCAATGTTTTGTTGTGAAAAATTGATGTTTGTTTGTTTAAATCTTTTAAAGATTTTTGGTTCAAAATCTAAGACTTTATAGAGTTAAGAGTGAATATTAAAATTCTTGACTTCTTAGAGATGCAAACGAATATAAAATTTCCTATAAGTATGCAATTTTTTTTGTATGGAAATTGAATATTTTTAATTTTAATGCTTTCATGGCTATAGTTTTGAAATGTAGATCTTCAAAAATTTACAGTTGAAAACCATAGACTTAATAGAATTATGAGCGAATATTAAAACAATTATAAGCTCTAGTAGCTCAACTCTTCCATTCTTTATATAGTGTTAAATTTGAACTCTGTTAAACTTTTATAAGAAAACTAAAATTTTTGTTTTATTTCGCTTTCTTTTTGTTTTTCTTTTTCACTAATTACTATAAATGTACACATGCGATTATTTTTTTTTACATGCAACTATTTTTCTTTATTATAGCAATTTTATAGACAAGCTAGCAAAAAAAAAAAAAAGAGAAAAACAAAAAAAGAATTTCAAAAAGCGCTTTTCGCTTTCTCATACTTTTATTATTCATAATTTAAGGGTGGCACATGCATTCGCACATGACAATTTTGTTGCATTTTTTGTTTTCTTTTTTTTTTTTTTTATTCATTTATTTCTAATTGTTTTGTATTTCAATAACCGCCCATGACATTTACAATTACAACTTGCGATGTTTGGGCGATTGTTTTTTTTTTTGATTGTTTTTCTAAATAGTTAGTTGGACCCTTTGCAATTTTAAATAATAAAAAATAAAATATAAATTGTTTTTGTGTAGGTTAAAATTACCGCATATAGTTGGAAAAAATGTTAAACTAAAAGTGTATACTTCATAGACATGTGAGTACAGTGTAGACCAAATTGTGTAGTAATAGTGTAAAATGACTGTAAATTGTACTGCTTTAGTACATTTTTCATAACAAAACTGATGTAGATAGGTTTGCGCTGAGGAATCGTATATCTTTTGTAGTTATTTATAATTTTTTGTAATCTATAAGGGTTAATTAAAATGGATGCCTATTATGTTCAGTGCAAATGGTTTTTTTTTTCTTGTAAGAATTTTGAAACAGATTTTTTTTTTCCTTTTCACATTTCCAGTTTTACCATTTATAGAATTTTTATAGTTTTTTATTTTTTTTTCGCGTTTTCTATAAAAATAGCATGTTATTTGAAAAAAATTTTTTTTTTTAATTTGTGTACAATTTTTTAATTTAGTTTCAGAGCATATAAAATTGTGGACAGCTCCTTTTTAAATTTGAAAAGTGATATTATTTTAGATATCATTGCCATATACATATTTTTTTTTGTTTCTATTGTGAATATTTTTTTCAAAATTCAAGAATATTGAAAAATATTGTTATATTTAGGCGCTTTTGTATGTAGCAGGTTTGAATAAGAAATTCAATTTAAGATATTGTGAAATTTTGATATAAAGTGCATTGCTTAATTCCATAAATTTTGTTCGTAATATACAGGGGCCTTACACAATGAAATTTAATTTTTGTATTTGCAGAAATGGAAAGCATCAAAGGAATTGATTGGTGCTACCTTAACGATTTTCCCGAATATTAAAATTAATTTTCGTTTTACGAAAATTGAATAACAAAGTAAGGCTCCAGGGGTTTTGTTTAAAATTAAAAAAAAAATATAATGCCACTGATATTTTAATTAATATATTAAATTAAATATAAATAATAAAATTTATGAAATTTATTAAATATTTTTGAAAATTTATTAAATATTTTAAAAAATTTAAAATACAGAAAAAATGTTGAGAATTTCAAAATTTTTTTTTGAAATTCAAAAAATTATTTCATATGGCAATGCTTTTTTTTAATAATTGGTATCGTGTACCTTTTTCTATTTTTTTTTTTTTGTTGCCATATAATTTTGTTTTTTTTTCTTGCATCTTGCATTTTCAATTTGTTTTGGTTTTTATGACCATCCAATAGGATTAATCATCATAGTCATAG